CACACACAAAATCTTTTTAAAAGAGAAAATCCATTTAACAGCTATTCTCTCGCCTCGTCCTTTTGCCACTCTGGCAGAAAAATAGAACTGTGGGATTGTGTGATGTCACCAGCATGCATGGCACATGGCCCGTGTGGTTTTTCCAAGCATCTGGAGGAACAAGAGAGATGGGACTGAGCAACCACATTTTGGGTGAGTGCTGCAACAGGGATTGAGGTCAAAGAGTCTTTTCCTCTCTCTGTTATTAAAACCATGCTAGGAAAGAGTCTGCGTGGTACAGCGTGTGCCAGCAGTGAGAACGGCTTCATTAAATAAGGGACAATAAGTCCTGCATGGAAGTGCGTCTGCGCTGTCTGGATTAAAGCGGAGTTTAGGCACCGTGAGGACATCTGCGAAACAGATGAAGCCAGGCTGCCTCCTTTAAAATGTTCTCTCCACTCTATGAAGACAGATACTGTATCTACCACAGCAACAGAGTTCACTCTTAAAATATGGAATTTACCCAAATCCCCACTGTGCTGGAAGAAGGGCCCAACCAATATGAACATTTTCTGACTAAGAATTTAATGACTAAGAATTTCCGATAACCAACAATTTAGTTATACAACTGCTAGCTGTCAAATGCACTGTCAAATATGATTGTCACTAGGGATGTACAATTATATTGGAATCATATCATTTTTGGAATCATATCATATCAGATATTTGCTTAAATATTGGAGAGATGTTTAGATTTGGCCAATTTTTAAAACCTATATCTAATCATGTATTTATTATAGTCCAAAAGAACAGAATGTGGCAGGGGAACTCCATCAATCTTTCAAAATTTCTGCATAATTAAATGGTTAAGATGTAAACAAAGTCATTTGGAGTGGTTTTGTGACATGCTTCATTCTAGAAAAACTACTAAACTCTAAGAGTCAGAATTGTTCACAGTGGTGGTGATAGGAACCAGACGTCTGAAGAGTTCTAAAGGGCCTCTAAAAGCCCCCTCACAGAAAGTTATTACATGCAATGGTTATGAATACTCAGCCTGATGCCTGAGACAGTGTTTTACAGTAGTTTTTTTATAAAGGTTTGGCCTAAAATGTTTAGATTCTTAACAATTTATTTTAATCTATTCATGGTGGAGGGATACATGGAGGCAAAACAGTCCTCAAGGAATTTTTTTTCCGGATTTTCCACTATTTTGCCACAATTAATATTACATAGAAAAATCTCAGAAAGTATATGTATGTTCACTGATCATTTTGGATAGTAAATAAAATGTCTATATTTGTGTTGTAGACATTGGGACCCCTGGTTCCTATCACCGTCACTATAAAGAAATCAGAGTCTGCAAATTTTTCTATAAATGAACTATTTCACAGCAATCCACTCTGAATGACTTTGTTTATATCTCAACTTCTGAATCATTCAGACACTTTGAAAAACTGGTGGAATTCCCCTTTAAGTTGACGGTGGGCTACCGAGCTAAAATATCTTACTTTTATTCATTTTTCTGGATTTGTAATGCTCTACAAATAAATGACTAATAAATATTTTTTATTCCACAATGCTACTCCAGGTGGATCTAGTTCATATTTCTACATTTGACAAATGTTTATCTATCAGCATCCAAAAACATATATATGAAAAATATCAGATCACAATTCCCATATTGGCGCATTCCCTTATTGTCACATTTCTTAAACTCAAAAAAATGACAGAAATACAACTTATTAAAATATCAATATTAAAAAAGACGTTACATATTGCTGCATTATATGCAACACTTTTGCTGACGCCAACAACCCATGGGACCTCACTATTGGCTGATATTATTGGCCAACTGATAAATCAGTCAGGAAGGAAGGAGACAACAAACATGCTGTACTTAACAAAAATATCGCAATAGTTACTGCAATCCCTTGTAAGCTTTAGTAACTTCCCTCAGTTTGTACCTCTGATTCATATGTGAATCTTAAATCAAGCCATGAAATCCAGCCCCAACGGGTCCTGATTTGGTTTGCCAAAACTGCAGGAACATTTCTGCACAAGCAGATCAATACAGTATTTGACAAACAAGAGAAAAGGAACGGTTCACTCAACCCTGAACAGTGTGTAAACAAAACATCAGTACGCCGGACCTTCTCCTAAAGTCCACTACATTCTTCAAAATGAGGTGTCATTTGGAGGGATGCCACAGAAGAACCAGGGATGAGGGATGGTTCCTTGTAAATGGAAGAATCGCATAATGTAAAGGTCCCCCTAGAACTGTATGTCCAAGGCAAGAGCCTTTTTGGGAACCTTTATTTCTAAGAATGTACAGAAAAGACACCCCCATCTGGAGCCTTTTCCCAGCGGCCCCTCGGGACGGCAAAGATGAAAGGGTTTAATAACTTCATATTACTACAAAGCCGCCCAAGAGGCACATTCGCTAATTCTTTCGCTGTGTTGGCATGAACCCTAGTAAAGGGACTCAAAAAATGCAAAGGGCTTGAGCCAGACTCGGAATCCCCTCGTGCCCGATGCTTACTGGCCCGCCGAGGCCTGGCCGCTTTGGAGCTCTCTCAGCTGTGAAATTCGGGCCTCGCTTCCCCTTTGCGTGCCATGTATCCAAATCTGGTAGAGCTACTAAATGGCAATGGAGGAAAGGACAGAGCTGATGATGCAAGAAGCAAGGCTGTTTAAAAGCGATGGATTTGTTTGTTTACACTGGCAAAGAGGAAGGGTCGGGGGGGGCAGCAGCTGTGTAAAACCGACTGCACTTCAAATTTCACGTCACAGGGTCTTCCCAGCTTTGACTCCTGAGAAATGTTTATCTCTTTTTAGAAACAATGAGCACTGTCTGACGCAAAAGGGGGCCAAGCACCACTTTGATTTTGGCATTAAGACATAAGAACCGTCCAAATCAGGTGAGCAGCACACAAAGTGACACTGCATTCAAAACAGCTTGTGATTCAATGACTGACGCAAACAAAATAAAGCACATCCTGAATATGCATGATAATACATTCTTTTCAAGTTTTGGAATAATTAGAGGTGGGCAGCTTGATGATATTCTACCATTATTGTGATGAGTTTTTTGTTACATACTTTTCTGACCATATTGCTTATAGTGGTCAACTGCATGTTTCATTACAAACTGAGCACAATTAGTTTTATGGAATTGAATGAAGTGCAGGATTAAATAAATCCCACTGTATTCACAGTTTTATAGCTGTTTTTTTAAAGGTAGCTCTACTTGTGCCTTGTGTCAAACCATTGTGATACGTATCATGCTTTGTGAAACCACCCTTAAATATCATATGATTTGACATACCGCTCACCACCACTGACAACATACCGCTGTTGTCAGAACGAAACCTCGTATCCCCAGAATGGTAACTTTACAGGAGAAGGAAAAAACCTACTTTACTTTTAATGTAAGTCAATGGAACCAGAATTTTTCCCAAGCCATTTTGGGCCGTTTCTTTTGGTTCATTCACTATGAAATTTACATACAATGTTAAGGGCAACAGGCATTTTCAGATTATGTGAAAAACTGAAAAACGACAATAACAGAGATACAAGGTTTTGTTCCGACAGCAGCGATATGTTGATATATATTTTTTTTTAAATAATCCGCCCACTCAAATACCAGAAGCTCCATATCACTCCTAAGAACAGCTCAAGAGTCTGAAGAACAGCTATCCACAAAGTTAATCCTCATATGAAAGATCTACAGCACCCGAGCTTTGACGGGTCAACCAGGGTAACCTGCCCGGAATACCAATACGGGCCGGTGGGCTGGGATTATTGTCCCTGAGCCACTTGTAGGGGGGAACAGTGCCTTTCTCAAGGGGTGAAAATGTAAAAATGAACAGCCAAGGGCTCCTTTCAGCTGCAAATGAGGACACGGGAGAAAGCCAGGCCGTGAAAGAGTGAAAAAGAGCAGGATGAAAGAGAGGGGAGGGAGGGAACGAGGGGTGGGAGGAGGAGAGGAGAGGAGTTAATAGAGACGGAGGTCTAGGAGACTTCACTCGTCTCCTGAGCAGCCCTGTCAGAAAAACAGAACGAGGCAGAGAGAGAGAGAGAGGGGGGCTGAAGTCATGTTAAAACTGCCCCTCTATCAGATGACAGCAAATTTCCAGTAATGCCACACACTGCACTCAACGTGCTGGACCCAAACTGACCCCACAAGCTTGACCCAGATCATTCTGACTGTTTTACAGCCATAAGACTGAGATGACGACCAGTGCTATGTCCACAAAGATAATGCAACAGTCTTCCTGACGGGTGCCAGAACTTATGCTTCAAAATAAGTTCTGCTGGACAACAATGACCTGCTGAAAGGGGGGGGGGTGTCAGGGGGCACCGTGACGTAAAGCAGCTCGAGCAGGAAAACCCATCTGTGCAAACTTAACAGCACCAAAGGAGGAATTTGCATTGCAACAAAGTGCAAAACAACAACACCACAACAAACAACAACAGCAGCACGTGACGTCACAGCACGGCAATACAGAAGAGTTCGGAAACTTCTTATTTAACTAAACTTTTCTGCACGAGCAACTTTGCACGCGCTCGCTTAAACTAAGTCACGTTAATGACAACAACAAAAACAACAACAATCAACTTCACGAGCGATTTCTCAGCTCGCGCTCTGACTGTCAGCTCCTGTTTTCGTTGTTTTTTTTTCACTTAGTTAACTGTCTTGGTTAATTTTGTGTGCACGCGCAGAGCGCAGCGTTCAAGTCAAGCGAACAAAAACAAGAAAAGTAGGAGCTCGAGCGGCGCTCTGCAAACCCGGGCTCCTCACCGCTGTCAGCAAAAGCCTTCGGTCTGCACTGCATGCACACTTAACGTTACTGCTCCAGATTTACGTGGCTGTGCGCGGTGGAGGAGGGAGGAGGTAGAGAGGGAGAGAGGGAGAGGGAGAGGGAGAGAGAGAGAGAGGGAGAGAGAGAGAAGGAAAAAAGCACGCTAACGAGAGAGAAAGCAGGTTAAAAAAGCCAAGGCAGCGCTCGCGGGGCTCTCACCGGCTTTGCACGGGTCTTTGTAGTCGATGGCATCCGGCGGCTCCTCGTAGTAAGTGGGCTCGAGCGCGTCCAGCTCGAGGCTGAGCAGCACGCGAAGGGCGGAGAGCAGCAGCAGCACGCAGCTCGCGGCGAGATCCATGACTGAACCGAGAGAGTGGGGACACGGCGCGAGGGAGAGAGTGGAGGACTGAGAGCTGAGGGAGGGAGGAGGGAGGGAGGTTTTAGGGGGGAAATGAGATCCGCGCGGAGGGCGGGTTCTAACAGCACGGCTCTGCCTCCTCTCCGCCTCGCGCTCGGGGCTCCGCAGCAGCGCTGTGATTTGTGGAGGCCGAGCAGCAGGATCAGAGCCAGAGTTCAGCCACCACGGCAGACCTGCTGCCTTCAGTCTCTCTCTCTCACTTATTCACTGACTCGCTCACTCAGTCAGTCTCACTCTCTCACTTATTCACTGACTCTCTCAGTCTCTCACTTTCTCACTTATTCACTGACTCTCTCACTCAGTCTCTCTCTCACTCTCTCACTTATTCACTGACTCTCACTCACTCAGTCTCTCTCACACTCTCACTTATTCACTGACTCTCTCAGTCTCTCTCACTCTCACTTATTCACTGACTCTCTCTCAGTCTCTCTCTCACTCTCTCACTTATTCACTGACTCTCAGTCTCTCACTCTCTCACTTATTCACTGACTCTCACTCACTCAGTCTCTCTCACTCTCACTTATTCACTGACTCGCTCACTCAGTCTCTCTCTCACACTTATTCACTGACTCTCTCACTCAGTCAGTCTCTCTCTCACTCTCTCACTTATTCACTGACTCTCTCAGTCTCCCTCTCTCTCACTCTCACTTATTCACTGACTCTCTCACTCAGTCTCTCTCTCTCTCACTCTCTCACTTATTCACTGACTCTCACTCACTCAGTCTCTCTCACACTCTCACCTATTCACTCTCTCAGTGTCTCTCACTCTCACTTATTCACTGACTCTCTCAGTCTCTCTCTCTCTCTCTCTCACTTATTCACTGACTCTCTCAGTCTCTCTCTCACTTATTCACTGACTCTCTCAGTCTCTCTCTCACTCTCTCACTTATTCACTGACTCTCTCAGTCTCTCTCTCACTCTCTCACTTATTCACTGACTCTCTCACTCACTCAGTCTCTCTCTCTCAATATCTCACTTATTCACTTACTCACTCACTCTCAGTCTCTCTCACTCTCACTTATTCACTGACTCTCTCACTCTCTCAGTCTCTCTCTTTCAATATCTCACTTTTTCACTGACTCTCTCATTCTCTCAGTCTCTCTCACTTATTCACTGACTCTCACTCATTCAGTCTCTCTCACTCTCTCACTTATTCACTGACTCTCACTCAGTCTCTCTCTCTCACTCTCACTTATTCACTGACTCTCTCACTCAGTCTCTCTCTCACTCTCACTTATTCACTGACTCTCTCACTCACTCAGTCTCTCACTCTCTCACTTATTCACTGACTCTCACTCAGTCGCTCTCTCACTTATTCACTGACTCACTTATTTACTGACTCACTTATTCACTGACTCGCTCACTCAGTCTCACTTACTAACTCTCTCATTCACACTCTCACTCAGTCTCTTACATACTCACTCCTTCACTCACTCAATCTCACTCATTTGCTCACTCATTCGCTCACTCACCCAGTGACTGACACTCATTCGTTCACTCTCTCAATCACTCTCTCACTCACACTCACTCACTGACTCTCACCCATTCGCTCACACACTCATTCACTTATTCACTCACTCTCTTACTTATTTACTTACTCATTCACTCCTTCACTCATTCAATCCTTCACTCCTTCATTCATTTACTCTCTTACTCACTCATTCACCCACTCTCACTCATTCATTCACTTACTCACTCATTCAGTCAGTCAGTGATTCACTCAATCATTTTTTCATTGTTACTCCAAATATGAACTTTATTATTTTTTAAAAAGTGGATTGTAAAATTTATTTTTTTTGTTTTATGTTTTGTGTGTTTATTTAATATATATTTTTTAATAGGTAATTAATATTATTATTATTATCATTATTATTAAATATGTTATTATTTTATTCTTCAGTTCAAAGTTCAGTGTTTCGTGTTTTTTGTTTGTTCTATTTACTTTTTTTTACTTTAATCTTTCGTCAACTTCTGTTCAAAAAATGTATGTATTTATTTGTTTGTTTGTTTTTTTTTCTCTTTATAGCCCCTATGTATTTATGTATGTATGTATGTATGTATGTATGTATATGTTTGCGGTTTAAAAGTGTTTGTTGTTTTCACATTTGTTTGGTTGTTATTTATACTCTTAGAGGGGTACACTTTGTTTACCTTTAATGTTGACCTCACTTCAAACGTATTTATTATTATTGTTGTTGTTGTTGTTGTTATTATTATTATTATTCCCCCCTTTTCTTTACTAATATTACAGGGTGATGTCTTTTATTTAAAACACAAACAAGCTTTTCCCAGCTGGACTCTGAATAACCTGCCTGTAATAATCAGGTGATGGTGCCTCAAAACATTCCTGTTATAAACTCCATGGCAACATGATACCAAACCCCCAGACAAAGCCATGTGGGTGTCTGTGTGTGTGTGCACAAACAATGAGCAGAGATGGACGCCAGTTACGGCTGCACACAGAGTCAATGCTAAAATGAGTCTGAATAGAATGCATAATGTGCCGTCACGCCCCAAAACTAGCAGATATGCTGCTCACTTTCTTGTGCGCTCTCAAATGCATGAGTATCAGTGAACGGCGCTGGGCTAATTGGTATGCAGAGCAACAGTAGACTCTATTGATCCGCTGACAGATCTGTCTGTGAGTGTGATATTGACGTTCTTGTACACCATCTCAGTGTATCGCCGCAGCTTTGTGTTAATAGCACTAATCAATGCTGTGTGAAATTAGCCAGAAAGGTTGAAATCTAATTCATTCAATTTTTTTCTGGTTATAAAGTAAGATGTGGACTCATCAAACTGCACAACACTGTCAAGACACAGTGGAACAATAAAGCTCATGGTTCTGATCATTTACACAGAAGTTATAAGGAGTGTTTCAGCCTGGACTGAACAGAGTCCATTTACACATATCAGTCTTAAAGGCACAGTAACAAAAACAGCCTGTTTAATAATTAAATATAAAGAGAGGTCGGAAAAAGATCACATATATATATATATATATATATATATATATACCAGAGGTGCCCAAACTTTTGCATGTGACTATATTTGCTCACATTATAAACATATATGTGCTAAATATATGTAATAGTGCCATTTTTAGTATTTACACATACACTCACTGAGTACTTTATTAGCAACACCTCCTTGTTTCTACGCTCATTGTCCATTTTATCAGCTCCACTTACTATATAGGTGCACTTTGTAGTTCTACAGTTACAGACTGTAGTCCATCTGTTTCTCTGCATACTTTGTTAGCCCCCTTTTACCCCTGTTCTTCAGTGGTCAGGACCTTGCTGTATGTGATCCACTTGCACCAGCGCAACACACACTAACACACCACCATCATGTTGATGTCACTGCTGTGCTGAGAATGATCCACCACCCAAATAATACCTGTTCTGTGGTGGTCCTGTGGGGGTCCTGACCACTGAAGAACAGGGTGAAAAGCGGCTAACAAAGTATGCAGAGAAACAGATGGACTACAGTCTGTAATTGTAGAACTACAGTGCACCTATATAGTAAGTGGAGCTGATAAAATTGACAAAGAGTGGAGAAGGACAGTGAGGTGTTCCTAATAAAGTGTTCAGTGAGTGTATGTCAAAGAAATGGAAATATATTACTAACCTCACATCAATTTTGAAAAATACATGAAAATGTATTTCCTTTGCATATGGCAAGAAAACGGTCAGATATGGGCCCTTTAGCAGCAGTTTGTAAACCAGTCAGCACTTCATTTCACAACATATACAACAGCAAACAGAGATGATATTCAAATGCTTTAATCCAAATGCAATCACTTAAAGTGGTGTACTATAGGCATAATATAATGTTGACATATTCACTAATATTTAAAGAGTCAGTAGTCAGTCATATGAAACTAGATGATAACAGTGACGAGGAAATCTGAATTATTTATCTGAATCAGGATGACAAAGTTTCCTTATTAGTCTCCTTCAAAATTCATAGCCGTGGTTCATCTCTATTCTCTATACTATGTTGAACTACACTACGCTATTTTAAACTACACTATATTAAACTATATTGCACTGTATTAAACTACTCTATACTTACTAGACTATAATATTCTATACTATACTATTTTTAACCAAACTATACTAATCCATACTATACTACACTGTTTATCCAAACTATACTAATCCATACTATACTACAGTTTACCCAAACTATACTAATCCATATTATACTACACTATGTTTATCCTAACTATACTAATCCATACTATACTACACTGTTTATCCAAACTATACTAATCCATACTTTACTAGTTTCACCAAACTATACTAATCCATATTATACTACACTGTTTATTCAAATTATACTAATCCATACTTTACTAGTTTCACCAAACTATACTAATCCATATTATACTACACTATGTTTACCCAAACTATACTAATCCATATTATACTACACTATGTTTACCCAAACTATACTAATCCATACTATACTACACTGTTTAACCAAACTATACAAACTCATACTATACTACACTATGTTTAATCAAACTATTCTAATCCATACTATACTACAGTATGTTAAACTATTCTAATCCATACTAAACTTTTTGAAAACTATACTATGATATACTAAACTAAACTTTGCTATATTAATCTATAACATTCTATACCATACCATACACTCTTTCAAAAAAAAAGGTCTGATAACAAAATATGACAGCTGGCAAACCCAGTTACAGAATATGTACTGCATGAAAGACCACATAACTTTAATATATGTTATATATACAGTTTGAGTGCCATGTGGATTTTCTAAGTGAGAATAAGTCTCTGCACATTTTACTGCACAATCACTCGTGGATTTAACATATTGGGAAAAATGAAATATAAAATGTGTCCTGTGCTAAAGTCATTGCAACTAAACACATAAGCTGACAGGGTGTATTTAAGCATTTGCATTTAACTGTATAAGTCAGGTTAAAGTATAAACCTTAAAGTAAGTTGAACATGGGTTTACCAACCTCTGAT